CCCCTCCCCTCCTCTCTCCTCTCCCTTCCTTTTTTTCCCCTTCATCCCTCTCTTTCTTTCTTCTGTCCTTCTGTTACCACATACACATAATCATATATTCTCTATACTTTTCTTCCCCATTCCTCTCTGCCTACATTCAGCAGGAATAGGGAGGAGGTGTTATACAAATGGGTCATATCACAAGGTATGGATTATGAAACTACCTGAAAGTGAGTCTTTTTCTTTGTAGTGGGATTAAAATTGAATTCAGTGGATCCAACAATGAGCATTGATCTTAAATATTTGGGAGTACAACTACCTTTGGCTCCAGCCACTAGTTTTCCTTTTTGGAACCTTACGGGAACCAACCCTGCTTCTCCTGGTAAGCATATAATGTTTGTAAAATTAAATGCTTTTTTTTTTCCCTTACAGGTTAGATTAGTTGTAATGCAAATTTATTTAAAAAACTTATCTTTACTGGAGATATTTATGGTATTTTAGAGCAAATCTTTTTTTCTCTAGTAGTAAATAAATGAACACATTTTAGTCTTAGTAATAATGTTATATTACATTGGCTCCATAGAATTTTGGTTATCTGTTTTTTCTTTATAGATGCTGGCTTTCCCTTTGTGTCTAGGACAGGGAAGACCAACGACTTCACCAAGATCAAGGGATGGAGGGGCAAATTTCATGGTGCTTCTGCAAATAGAAATGAAGGTAATTGGAGAGGTTTTTTTTTTTTAAGACAGGAATCTGATAGTATATCCTAGGCTGGCATTGAACCATTGGTCTTTTTAGCCTCCAAAGTACTGAGATTAGGGCATGTATCATTATGCCTACTTGATTTTTTTTTTCTTAACATTCTAAATATTTTCCAAAACATGTAGCCAAATTTTTTGTTTGCTTTAGCACAGTAATCCCAGCTACTTGGTAGTCAGAGATAAGAATAGATCATAAGGCTGGGCGCTAGTGGTTCACACCTGTAATCCTAGCTCAGGAGGTTGAGATCTGAGGACTGTGGTTTGAAGCCAGCTGAGGCAGAAAAGTCCCCATGAGACTCTTATCTTCTATTAACCACTCAAAAACTAGAAGTATGGTACTCTAGCTCAAAGTGGTAGAGCGCTAGCCTTGAGCAAAAGAGTTCAGGGACAGTGGCTAGGCCCTGAGTTCAAGCCCCACAAGCAACTACTACAACAACAACAAAAAGAAGAGTAGATCTCTATGGTCTTTCCTAGCAAAAAGTTAATGAGACCACCTATCAGTGGTGGTCCAATAATCAGCCCAACATGGTGATATGTGCCTATGGTTCCAGCTGTGGGGGATATTGTAGATAGGGGGTCACAGTTCAGGCTAGACCTGGACAAAAATGTGAGACCCTCCGTCACAAAAAATAAAAAAAATAAAGTTTATGTACAAGTACTGGGGATGTGGCTCAAGTGGCAGAATAGTTGCATAGCAAGTCCACGGCCTTGACTTCAAACCTGTTAACTGCCAATAAAAAGGGTTCTCACTACGTTTTAGATTGAAGTGGTCATATTAATTTTTATTTTCTTTAAAAGTAAAGCCTGGGGCTGAGTTCCTAACCATGTCAGGAATCCTAAATTTTTAAAATAACAGTCTTGTTATTCATAGAAAGGTATCATTCTCAAGCATTTATTTATTTGTTTGTTTATTGCCAGTCTTGAGGCTTGAACTCAGGGCCTCATTCTCAAGCATTTATTTATTTGTTTGTTTATTGCCAGTCTTGAGGCTTGAACTCAGGGCCTCATTCTCAAGCATTTATTTATTTGTTTGTTTATTGCCAGTCTTGAGGCTTGAACTCAGGGCCTCATTCTCAAGCATTTATTTATTTGTTTGTTTATTGCCAGTCTTGAGGCTTGAACTCAGGGCCTCATTCTCAAGCATTTATTTATTTGTTTGTTTATTGCCAGTCTTGAGGCTTGAACTCAGGGCCTCATTCTCAAGCATTTATTTATTTGTTTGTTTATTGCCAGTCTTGAGGCTTGAACTCAGGGCCTCATTCTCAAGCATTTATTTATTTGTTTGTTTATTGCCAGTCTTGAGGCTTGAACTCAGGGCCTCATTCTCAAGCATTTATTTATTTGTTTGTTTATTGCCAGTCTTGAGGCTTGAACTCAGGGCCTCATTCTCAAGCATTTATTTATTTGTTTGTTTATTGCCAGTCTTGAGGCTTGAACTCAGGGCCTCATTCTCAAGCATTTATTTATTTGTTTGTTTATTGCCAGTCTTGAGGCTTGAACTCAGGGCCTCATTCTCAAGCATTTATTTATTTGTTTGTTTATTGCCAGTCTTGAGGCTTGAACTCAGGGCCTCATTCTCAAGCATTTATTTATTTGTTTGTTTATTGCCAGTCTTGAGGCTTGAACTCAGGGCCTCATTCTCAAGCATTTATTTATTTGTTTGTTTATTGCCAGTCTTGAGGCTTGAACTCAGGGCCTCATTCTCAAGCATTTATTTATTTGTTTGTTTATTGCCAGTCTTGAGGCTTGAACTCAGGGCCTCATTCTCAAGCATTTATTTATTTGTTTGTTTATTGCCAGTCTTGAGGCTTGAACTCAGGGCCTCATTCTCAAGCATTTATTTATTTGTTTGTTTATTGCCAGTCTTGAGGCTTGAACTCAGGGCCTCATTCTCAAGCATTTATTTATTTGTTTGTTTATTGCCAGTCTTGAGGCTTGAACTCAGGGCCTCATTCTCAAGCATTTATTTATTTGTTTGTTTATTGCCAGTCTTGAGGCTTGAACTCAGGGCCTCATTCTCAAGCATTTATTTATTTGTTTGTTTATTGCCAGTCTTGAGGCTTGAACTCAGGGCCTCATTCTCAAGCATTTATTTATTTGTTTGTTTATTGCCAGTCTTGAGGCTTGAACTCAGGGCCTCATTCTCAAGCATTTATTTATTTGTTTGTTTATTGCCAGTCTTGAGGCTTGAACTCAGGGCCTCATTCTCAAGCATTTATTTATTTGTTTGTTTATTGCCAGTCTTGAGGCTTGAACTCAGGGCCTCATTCTCAAGCATTTATTTATTTGTTTGTTTATTGCCAGTCTTGAGGCTTGAACTCAGGGCCTCATTCTCAAGCATTTATTTATTTGTTTGTTTATTGCCAGTCTTGAGGCTTGAACTCAGGGCCTCATTCTCAAGCATTTATTTATTTGTTTGTTTATTGCCAGTCTTGAGGCTTGAACTCAGGGCCTCATTCTCAAGCATTTATTTATTTGTTTGTTTATTGCCAGTCTTGAGGCTTGAACTCAGGGCCTCATTCTCAAGCATTTATTTATTTGTTTGTTTATTGCCAGTCTTGAGGCTTGAACTCAGGGCCTCATTCTCAAGCATTTATTTATTTGTTTGTTTATTGCCAGTCTTGAGGCTTGAACTCAGGGCCTCATTCTCAAGCATTTATTTATTTGTTTGTTTATTGCCAGTCTTGAGGCTTGAACTCAGGGCCTCATTCTCAAGCATTTATTTATTTGTTTGTTTATTGCCAGTCTTGAGGCTTGAACTCAGGGCCTCATTCTCAAGCATTTATTTATTTGTTTGTTTATTGCCAGTCTTGAGGCTTGAACTCAGGGCCTCATTCTCAAGCATTTATTTATTTGTTTGTTTATTGCCAGTCTTGAGGCTTGAACTCAGGGCCTCATTCTCAAGCATTTATTTATTTGTTTGTTTATTGCCAGTCTTGAGGCTTGAACTCAGGGCCTCATTCTCAAGCATTTATTTATTTGTTTGTTTATTGCCAGTCTTGAGGCTTGAACTCAGGGCCTCATTCTCAAGCATTTATTTATTTGTTTGTTTATTGCCAGTCTTGAGGCTTGAACTCAGGGCCTCATTCTCAAGCATTTATTTATTTGTTTGTTTATTGCCAGTCTTGAGGCTTGAACTCAGGGCCTCATTCTCAAGCATTTATTTATTTGTTTGTTTATTGCCAGTCTTGAGGCTTGAACTCAGGGCCTCATTCTCAAGCATTTATTTATTTGTTTGTTTATTGCCAGTCTTGAGGCTTGAACTCAGGGCCTCATTCTCAAGCATTTATTTATTTGTTTGTTTATTGCCAGTCTTGAGGCTTGAACTCAGGGCCTCATTCTCAAGCATTTATTTATTTGTTTGTTTATTGCCAGTCTTGAGGCTTGAACTCAGGGCCTCATTCTCAAGCATTTATTTATTTGTTTGTTTATTGCCAGTCTTGAGGCTTGAACTCAGGGCCTCATTCTCAAGCATTTATTTATTTGTTTGTTTATTGCCAGTCTTGAGGCTTGAACTCAGGGCCTCATTCTCAAGCATTTATTTATTTGTTTGTTTATTGCCAGTCTTGAGGCTTGAACTCAGGGCCTCATTCTCAAGCATTTATTTATTTGTTTGTTTATTGCCAGTCTTGAGGCTTGAACTCAGGGCCTCATTCTCAAGCATTTATTTATTTGTTTGTTTATTGCCAGTCTTGAGGCTTGAACTCAGGGCCTCATTCTCAAGCATTTATTTATTTGTTTGTTTATTGCCAGTCTTGAGGCTTGAACTCAGGGCCTCATTCTCAAGCATTTATTTATTTGTTTGTTTATTGCCAGTCTTGAGGCTTGAACTCAGGGCCTCATTCTCAAGCATTTATTTATTTGTTTGTTTATTGCCAGTCTTGAGGCTTGAACTCAGGGCCTCATTCTCAAGCATTTATTTATTTGTTTGTTTATTGCCAGTCTTGAGGCTTGAACTCAGGGCCTCATTCTCAAGCATTTATTTATTTGTTTGTTTATTGCCAGTCTTGAGGCTTGAACTCAGGGCCTCATTCTCAAGCATTTATTTATTTGTTTGTTTATTGCCAGTCTTGAGGCTTGAACTCAGGGCCTCATTCTCAAGCATTTATTTATTTGTTTGTTTATTGCCAGTCTTGAGGCTTGAACTCAGGGCCTCATTCTCAAGCATTTATTTATTTGTTTGTTTATTGCCAGTCTTGAGGCTTGAACTCAGGGCCTCATTCTCAAGCATTTATTTATTTGTTTGTTTATTGCCAGTCTTGAGGCTTGAACTCAGGGCCTCATTCTCAAGCATTTATTTATTTGTTTGTTTATTGCCAGTCTTGAGGCTTGAACTCAGGGCCTCATTCTCAAGCATTTATTTATTTGTTTGTTTATTGCCAGTCTTGAGGCTTGAACTCAGGGCCTCATTCTCAAGCATTTATTTATTTGTTTGTTTATTGCCAGTCTTGAGGCTTGAACTCAGGGCCTCATTCTCAAGCATTTATTTATTTGTTTGTTTATTGCCAGTCTTGAGGCTTGAACTCAGGGCCTCATTCTCAAGCATTTATTTATTTGTTTGTTTATTGCCAGTCTTGAGGCTTGAACTCAGGGCCTCATTCTCAAGCATTTATTTATTTGTTTGTTTATTGCCAGTCTTGAGGCTTGGACTCAGGGGCCTGTGCACTATCCCTGAGCTTCTTTTTACTCACAGTTAGCCTTCTACCTCCTGAGCCACATCCCCACTTCTGGCTTTTTCTGTATATGTGGTACTGAGGAATATCATGTATGCTAGGCAAGCACTCTACCACTAAGCCACATTCCCAGCTCCTCAGGCATTATTTTCAAACTATATAATCCAGAAGCTGGGCGCTGGTGGCTCACGCTTATAATCCTAGCTACTCAGGAGGCTGAGATCTGAGGATCACAGTTCCTGCCAGCCCAGGCAGGAAACTCTGTGAGACTCTTACCTCTGATAAGCCACTAAAAACCGGAAGTGGTGCTGTGGCTCAAGTGGTAGAGAGCTCATCTGGAGCTGAAGAGTGCAGGGAAAGCGCCCAGGCCCAGAGTTCAAGTCCCACGACCAACAAAAACAAAACAAACTATGTAACTCAGAGTTGTGTAGTACCTGGTAACATTTGGGTAGCATTGTGTGTACTGCTTTTCCTTTCTTTTTTTTTGGGTCCAGTCGTGGGGCCTGAACTCTGGGCCTGGGTGCTGTCCCTCAGCTCTTCAGCTCAAGGCTAGTGCTCT